CAGTAATGTGCTCTTTTTTTTACCCAATTCAGGCTGCTACTGTCATTATAAAGTCATCATAAAACATCTTTACATCTTTAAAAAGGAGTGAAGTCGATTAACTTCTGAGCACATACTTGCCCATTTGAGAATCTCGCAGGGTGTGATCATCAGCACAGTGGCCCTCCTGTACATGCTGTGCAAAAGGACCATTTCCTCTCTCCGCACGTAATCTCTCTTCTCTGTTGCATTTGTGGGCAAAAGCACCAAACTGTCAATTTGCATCTGCTCAGGTTTTAATAATATTACTCAGAAATATATCTTTATTAGTTGCTTTCCTGGTCAGGCAGTGCTAAATACTGCCCAGATATCAGCTGATTTGAAGCTCTGATGTTTAACTGAAATGTGTTCTTGAGCCTGCTGTTAGTGTTGGCCACTGTGCTGGAGAGTGGGCCCTGACTTCTTGTGATACAAGCTGTCGGGGTGACCCAGCCACTTTGTTTCAATAAAGGCTACAAAAACTCTTGCTCTGTAAACATCACACAGAACATTCAAGAAAATTGTAGTAAAAGGTCATTATTTAAGTAACAGAGCAAAGCTGTATTGGGTCTGTCAGAGCTGGAGTCAGTCTCCCCCCAGCACCCTCGCAGTGCTGAGTGTCACCCTGGCAGCCAACAGGGGGTGTGTCACACAGCTTGGGAGGGGGCGGAGCCGGGACAGCTGACCCGGATTGGCTGTTCCATACCATGTGACCTCAGCTCAGCCATAAAAACCAAGGGCAGGGAGGAGGAGTGAGGCATTTGTTCCTGTGTTTGTCTCTAGGGTCAGCTGCTGCTCCTCACACTGAAGCTCTGCTTTTCCGGGAAGTGGCTGGACATGGCTTACTGAGGGGAAGTAGAGGATAACTTTTGTTATTTTGTTCTTTTGTTTCTGTGCATGGCCTTGGCCTTTGCTTTAATTAAACTGCTTTTAGCTTGACCCACAAGTTTTCATCTTATTCTCCCCCTTTATTTCGCTGAAGGGGGGAGCGATAGAGGGGCCGGGTGGGCACCTGGTGTGCAGCCAAGGTTAATAATCCAAAATTAGGAAATGTTAGATATGCAGTGACCCTTGATATCTTTAGCTCCTGCCCTGTGCAATCAATAAAGAGAAGACCTGTGGGAATGGAAGAGTTTGTGGTCTGAGAAGTAATGACAGCCTCAGTGATGTCTCACTCAAAAGACAAGTGGAGACACCAGTGATTTCAGCTTTTCCTTCTTTGTCAGTGCTGAGGTTTTTCCGGGAAGTGGCTGGACATGGCTTACTGAGGGGAAGTAGAGGATAACTTTTGTTATTTTGTTCTTTTGTTTCTGTGCATGGCCTTGGCCTTTGCTTTAATTAAACTGCTTTTAGCTTGACCCACAAGTTTTCATCTTATTCTCCCCCTCCCAGCTTTTCCTTCTTTGTCAGTGCTGAGGTCCAGCAGCTGAGCCAGGCTGTTAGAGCAAACATGGATATAATGGTAAACTGAGGCACAGGAGCCTGTACGGCTCCTGGGAGTATAGAGGTGGTTTAGAACAGTGATATTCCTGCACTGAGCAGGGCACTGCTACGGTCCCGGGTTTTCTGTGCTGAATCTGTAAGAAAGTGGTAATGATGAAACATGGCATATACGTCTGTCTTTGCTTAGAGAGGAAATGAAAGCAAACTTGTCTAAACATTGAAGAAGCATTTAACTGAGACCAATGCACAATAAAAGCTATGATATTTGCCATTGCTGGAATTCTTTCCTACAGATACTTCCCCTGCTGCTGACAGCTCCATTCTTCACAGCTACAGGATCAGAAACATCTGAAACACCTTCTTCTCATCCTTTAATCTTCTGTCTTTTCAATCCCCAGCTACTGTGAGAAGCTGGCTGCTACATGCCTTGGGCATAAAATGAGAAGATGCTGAAAGGACTGAAATGAGAAGGACCTTACGTGACAGGTAGGTGAGTACTGCATGGTACAAAAGCTGGAGGGGCTGTCTGCTATAGAGCAAGGTTTGCAAAATTGCTCATGTCAACATGGTTATCTTGTCTCAGATGCCATGTAGATGGGTCCCTTCAGTTTGATGAGAGCTAAGGTAGAAAGTTGAAGCCCACCCTCCACACAGCAGGTTTGCTGGAGGTAGGCTGTTGGAGATCCATGGCAAATGCAGTCTATAGGCACTGGGCAGCAGTAATATAGACTGGTTCATGGAGCAGCTCAGAATTGGGAAGGGTTAAAAACAACTATGCTACAGTACCATCCCTCTTGAGAGAGAGACAATATTAATATCTTATGTTTACTCATTACAAGTGTCTTTTCTGAATCAAACACACACTGAAAGGTGGATCTGTATTGCACTGAGCCAGTAATGACACAGAGCTTCTGACTCACAAATTACTCCCCTTGTTTAAAGCATGAAGTAAAAAAATCCCTCTCCTGATAGATTAAAAATAGTTCAACAGATTAGTTAAGCATGGCCACATATTATAGCTTTTCTGTTCAAAATCAATGCTATAGAAATTTACTAACTATCATATTGTAATACAAAACCCAAACTTCTTTAATTTGCTTTATATACTGACAATCCCCAACTAGACTCTCCAAAAGAAAAATTAATATATTAATCTCCAGAATATTACCATTTTCCTGGTGACTTAGATCATATAAAGTCATTAATAGATATTTGTTAAAAGCAAACACAATTCTTTACATTATTGTTAGTCCCTAAGATAGCAGTAGAATTGGGAGTCAGAAATAAGCCAGAAACAATTAGAAATTAAGGCAACTTTTCGTAACTGAATTAGACAATTGCTGAAATTAAATGCGAAATCAAAAGCAACTCTGGCTAAGCAATATACTTTTGGGGCCTACCTGCCAGTTTAGTTGCTGAAAAAGGTGCTGTAATGTAAAGCATGGACTCAGGTTCTTCAGACAGACTTCCCCCTTCACTCCACTGGAGCAGGACCAATCCCAGAAGTGTCTGAATGTACTTGTGAATGGTACATATACAACAAATATACTTTGTATATTTCCATAGCTTGAAATATAAAACTTATTTGGGAAGCTACAGCTCTTGAGCTACAGCATGCACATTTTCAGATGTCCTTCTCTCTCATCCAGATCCCAAGGGACCCCTAAACCTATAGAAACTTTTATGTTTTCAGACTGTGTCTGCCAAAATGCAGTCAAGCTGGCAATCTTTGAGACAGCAAAGACCATTTGAAGACATATCCTTTTGGTCTGTGCTTGTTCACATTCTTCCTCCTCCCACACCCTCTTCTGGCTCAGCGGATGGGACCCCTCTGGCCTTATGCAGGCAGGAGAATTAGAAAACTCATCATGGTACCAGAAAAAAGACAGTAGCAGGTCACACCAGCACCCATATAGAGTCCTGTGATTGTTAGAAACACTACAAAGATGCAAGTGGATTTTTGAAGGCATCCATTGATATTGTGAGGTTGAGTTGTGATTTCACTGAAAGGCTGACAGTTGTGCAACAGATTCTTATTTTAGAAATAAGTGAAGAAAGAAATAGTACTGCAAATCTTCAACTTAATATGAATCTGTTCAAATTATGAGAAAGCTTTTTTATCTCCTACTTCCAAGTTGACTCTTCTTGTGCTTATATTTCTATGAATCTATTTTGACTGAGTTAAGAAAAATATCTATGGGGCAGGTAGGTTTTGAAAAGTAAATATATTGTTCTGAATTGTAACCGAAGTGGCTTTGCTGAAGACAATTATCACTTCACAGGGTAATGCTAAATGAGGTACCTCAGGTCTGTTGAGAATTCAACCACATTGACACTTAAGTGTTCAGCATTGTAATGTTTCCACAGACAGGGTGGGGTGATAAGATGCTGCCAGACTTATTCTGTGCTAGTTCTTGTTTAGAGAAAAAAGTCTTACACAGAGGAAGCAGTAACTACCTCTATTCTTGTCATTTTTCAGAGACTGTGATGGAATGGTAGTTTTCTCAATCATTGAAAAAATATTACTGAAAGAAACCAACTCAAAATTCAGGAGATAAAGATAGAAAAGAACTGATATTTCTGAAATAAGAAAGTTTTTATGATAGAAAAAAAGGATCAGTGGTATTTTAAGAACTGTTTTGGCGTAGATATCGATGCAGTACCTGAAAAGTTCACATGATCTCATTTAACAGATCTCCTTTGCTTCTTTGCCTACAGAGTTAGAAGAAAATACTTCATATAATGCATTCTACAATCTTTTTTTTTAATTGTTAGCAAGCAGTGTTGTCTGGAAATAGCATCATACATGCAGCTGTACTTACATACAATGTGTACAAAAGCACAGTAACAAGACACTTCCAACACACGCATACTGAATTAGCAATACACCTAGTGAAGCTCCAGATGGATTAACTAATTCCCCCTCACCATGCTACAAGAGTTTGAGAGGAGGCATATACAATTTAGGTGACCTAAAACAGGCTTTGAGTATTAGGCCTGGGAAATAATGAACCAAAATCGTGCTGATTTCCTGACAAGGAGTTATAGTCTCACTGGGAATACCTTCCCCACACAATGAAAAAGAACAGGCTGTAGCCTGCAGTTCTGCCAGAAGGCAGACTCATGCTGCAATTTAAGACACTGAGGGAAGAGTATAAATCAAACACAAGCATCAAAGCTACTATAAATTACATTATTATTTTTCCAGTAGGGTACCTGTATCATCTGGTAATGTCCACATCAGACAAATGCCTTAAGGAAATAAAAAACACAATGGATTTAGAAGGCCTATGAAATGTTATGCAGTGTAGAGAGATTGCCAAACAAAATGAGAAGCAGGCAACCAGGAAAAAAAAAAAAAAAAAAGCAGAAATAAAAGGGAAATTTGATCACCAGTCAAATAATCTCAAATTGGCCAGACTTCAACAGATCCTTTCTTCCGAAGACTCAGTCTAAGCATACGAGAGCCAAAAGTGAGCTACAAACTGCAAAGAAAAAGTTCAAATTTGTTCCACAGTCAAAAATCACACCTATATAAATCATAATGACATTTCTTGTCTCAAGTTGTGCCCATTCAGTTGTGTCATGCTAGTCACAGTGTTCCTGGTATTGCTTTTCAGGGAAGTCATTTGAATGGCGGAAGAGTTGTGCAAGTAGCTGGCAGATCTCTCTTGCTGACCTTTCTTCCTGCAGCAAAGGTGGTTGTTGAAATGTCTTCTAAAACTCTCACTGAGAAAATACAGCGCAAAGGGGTTGACGCAAGAGTTGCAGAAGCTTAGCACTCGGGCCACCAAGGTAACAACCATATGTGCTGTTGATGGATCAATCTCATTGTAATTAAAAGATCGGTACATGTATAGCACATGGTTAGGAAACCAGCAGATAGCAAAGAAGCCAACAAAAACTAGAACAATTTTTGCCAGACGTTTCCGTGTTTCCATCTAAAAAGATGAAGAGAACCCAAATGAACAACAACGAATAGAACTATTCCACATAACAGACTTAATTAAAACATGTAGCATTTTTCTTTATATTAGCTTTAAACACCTGTCATAAGTAAGGCCAGTAAAAGTGCTTCCTTCACAGGCTGCATTACTTTTTCCATCTCATTTACTTTCCTTTACCACTTTCAGTTTACTTTCAGTGACAGACCCTAGCTGTTTGCAGTCACAGACGGTTGTTCTTTCTATATGATGTACACAGCAAGAGTGATTCATCACCCAAGTAAACATTGGCTTCTAGCCTTAAAGCATGCACCAAAGGATGCCATCCTTTATTTTTTAACATCCCATGTTGGCTGAAATGCCTCAGCTTGCACCTCTCTCCTAGGCAAACCACCAAAACTGTATTGCACAGTGTGAAGCATCTTAATTCCAGAGGAAGGTGAAAGGTTCAGTTAATCTTAAATAATGACATTAAAGAAATGTACCTTAATTGCAGTGTTAAAGTATAATTGGACTACAATGTAGATATTGAGAGTGGTTGAAAACTTGACAGGAAATGGGCCCACACAGAGGTTCCAAACTGAGAGAGGGAGAGAAACTGGCCAGGCAGAAGGCACCAAAGGGAGGCAGAAACTTTCTACATCTTCCTCCCAAAAGATTTATTAAGTATGTCAGGTACCAAAGTTTTGCAAAGGCAGGAAAGTTTTCTGGCTCTGCTCAATTTTCTGAAAAAAATCAAGTGAATTTATTCTAATAGGGTTTCAAAATGTGTGAAATAAAACTGTAAGTAGTTTTCTTGGCTCCATCTAAACCAAAACCAGTGGGGAATTCACAAAAGATGGGAAAACTCTAGCATTCTAGTTTGGTAGGTTTTGCGCTCAGACTGATTGCAAAGGCAGACTAAAAGGGGCAGAGGGGCCTAAAGAAACATGAATTGATAGCAATAGTCTGAATTTACTTCTTCTTGCTCAGAGATATGTAAGTACACAAAAAATTTCTATTCTTCTGAGCCTCATAGATTAACAAAAAGGGAAAAAAATAAGTAAAATGAAAAAATATGTTCTCACTTTGAAAATACATGAAGGTTCAGAAATGTGATATAAATTAAATATTGTTTCCATCCTGAGGGTTCAGCCAAAAGTCTCTCTGTATTTCACAGGAAAATAAAATAATACATGAAGTGCTAATATATATGCATTTTTGACAAGAAACAGGCTAGAGTAGAAATGAAATGCCAAGCAAAAAGGACATGAGGGAATGTGATCTTTCTTTTTAAAAGCATATATACATGCTATATATGCAAGGAGATTTCAGTGAGTAGAAAAGCATTTTCTAAAATATTGGTAGAGAAAATCCTTCCAAATTGTTTTAATGGGTATCAGTATTTTTCTCTATCAGTACTAACGCTTTCTTAAAGTGGTTGAGGCACTTTCACTGTAAAAACTGTTGTATGTATATATAAATAGTCCTGCTAATGAACAGCCTGTTGCTATCTTATTGCTTCCTGTGCCTTCCAGGGAATCTGGCTTTGTCCAGCACTTTACAATGCTTTGTCTCAAAGATATACAGAACCTATACCAAAAGTTTTATAGCATCTATAATAGAAAGCATATTAGAAAAGTATGAGTTCAGGATTGTATCCAAGAAAGTTCTACTGAGAAAGACAAAAAAAAGAATCAGTTCATGTTCTGTGTTCCTATTTCCAGTACTCCTTGGTCTGAGAAGAACCTCAGAACCCCTAAGAAAAAATTTCCCTATGTCATTTTTTTTCATTTCAAAGCACAAATAAACCAGGGAGAATTCTCAAAAGGTTCCTGTAAGATTTCTTCCCAAAATGTCTGCCTACAGAGACAGGTGAAGCCACTAGCATTAACCTCAGAAACATTGTTCCTCAGTAAGAACATAAGTAATGGTTTCACTAACACATATACCAATCCCATTTCCTGTTAGGAATATGCATTGAGGGCATTAAATTTATATTTTTCCTTGCTCATATTCATTGACACACTGGACTTAATACTGAGCAATTGTGAAAACAAGATTTTTCAGGTAACCATCAGCTTAGTTCATGCGTGTGGAAACTGAACTAATCCTCTGCAAAATCTAACAATTTAGACGTTATAGTTCCTGCACTTTCATTTGTGAGTGCATACAGCACACCAATCTTTCATCAGGATGACAAAAGCAAATTGCTTACCTGTCTTTTGGAATGCTCACTGTACTCTCCAGGGATGTTGTGTGCACTTTTTATTAAACTCTTTGCAATATGATAGTAGTAGATACTAATAATGGCAAGAGGAATAAGAAAATACACCAGGAAAATCAACACAGAATGGATCTTCGGGTGCATGTCATCCGTCATGGGGTACGGTATGCATGCTGTGAAAGTAGCATTATCCGTGTCATTGATGTGGGCCAGTTGGGAGAACACTGCTTCGGGAACTGCTAGGAGCATGGAGATTACCCAGATGGTAATGGCTTTAACACAGGTCCACAGGACTGCGCTGGAGGTCTGGATGTCCATGGGATTTACAATTGCCTTGTACCTGAAATTAATCAAAATGCGGATGCAAATTAAAAGGTATCTTTTCAAATTCAACCTGTGATGCATAAGGCAACTTCCTACCTTTGATTACAGTAGTGTCATATTTTGTTCTTATTTGAAATGTCAAGGGGTTTGTAATCTTTCTTAAATTTGCATTCTCTAAATCTCCAGCTTCTTGTAACTCCAGTTACATAACTTTATTCATCTTAAGGTCTTTCTAGTCAGTGGAGATGTACTTTAAAAGGGTAATTCAGATTTTAGGTGTCTTACATCACCCTCAGAGGTGCTTATTTTTCTCTGTTAGCTATACCATGAGCTTAGAGTGAGAAGATCTGTAGCTTGCATGTCTCTACTTAGTGATAAAACTAATACATATGCATGCATATACAAATATAAATATGTATGGGTATGCACAGGTGTCTAAATATATACCAAGAGTTAGGTTATGGCTAAATATAAGATAGTTGCTCAAGGGAATGTTGAGAAACGGATCCCAAATACCCTTTATGGCTGATTTGCAGGTGCTGACAGGTACTTCATAGCCCCTCAACACCTTGAGCAGATGTTTGAGGAACTGCAGATGAAAGCTATACCCCCACGCAGCAGCTTGTGAGTTTTCTGGCAACCAACAGGGCAACTGGCTATGCCATGAAAATGTAGGGAGCAGAGCACTGTCTTGGTACTCTCACAAACTTTTCCTTCTGAGAATATTTGAGTCAAAATGTGTCTTAGAGTCCTCTTTCTCAAGACTGTGGCTTATCACTAAATAATTAAAAATAATGGCTATTTGTGTTCATATCCTCCCTGAATTCGGAGAGAGGATTTTTACTATGTCTTCACTCATATCATGGAGTAGAATATAAAACTCTGTAAACTGTCTCTATTCATGTTTGACATTTCTTCTAACACACAATGAGAAAGTCCCTGGACACCAAGGCATAAAGAAATCCTTTATACTGTCATAGGAAGGACAGAAGCTTCTGCACAAAGCATGAGCGCTCCCCAGCACAAACTGTGACCTTATTATTCAGTAATTTGCTTCCTATTGCCGTCTGCCTTGATTTCATTACATAAAGACAGACCTTCTATTTCATTTCATACAACTGAGGTGACGTAAAGTCCTTATATCTGCTCATTTCTATAAAACATCTTTAAACCGGCTTGGGGACCTTGTAGGGGAGGAGAGGGAGGACATTAGATAAAAATCATAGTTTGTACTACAGATTTTTTTTCCCTCTCTTCTCCCATTGCAGTGCTTCAAACTGTTTTGACCACAGCCGTATGACCCAAGACAATGACCATGTCACAATTAATTGTTTTAGCAGCATTTGGTCTGGTTAATATCTAAATGGGAGACGTTTTCAGAAGCCTTAACATTAGCAGAAGATGTGGCATATATTTGCGCCTTGGTATATATTGCTGTTTCAGCAAATAGCATGCTTTCCCCTGAGCTACAATTGACTCCAAGCTGGAAGGCATTGGAGCAGAGCGTCCTTTTTCACAAAAGCAGCTGGGCTCAGCCTAAAAAACTTCTTCTTTAATCCTATCAAAATTCTGCCTGATATTTCAGCAGAATACAAGATGGCACTTTTTTCCTAGGACTCGACCATGCACAGCACTCAGTGTCAATGGGAAGGAAAAGGCACTAAAAGTGCTTTACAAAATCTGTCATCTTGTTTATATCTCTGAAAAGATACAGAGAGACATACAGATTACAGATAAAATCAAATGTAAAGTGAGTGAAATGAGAAGTGTTCCCAAAGTGAACACCCAGCCTCTTCCTTTCTATAAAACCAATGTAAGGCTAAAACGTACCACCAACCATCCAAATTACAAAGTGCGTATTTTCTATCGATAAAACAACACTGGTAAATCAGAGTAAGGGTGCAAATTATTTAGTCAAATTAGTAAGCAAAATCTATCTTTTCCTTTACTTCACTGATGAAAAAAGAAAATTATACGTAGTCATGAAGTTCAGGAAATAATTATAAATATGCATTTGGTTTTAATTAAAAGCTTTCATGTAAATTCTGTCTTCCTACATCCTCTATCATTATCACAGCTAACAAAGGCACCCCAACTCAGGAAATACTTTTATAATAAGTTTCCTTTCTTTGGAGCTGTGGTTTCTGCCAACAGACACAAGCACACTCTTGACCATTCTGCAGGTATGGGTTTTGTTTGTACAGCGTATTTTCATTATAAAGCAATCTCCTACCTTCTACACAACCCCAAAAAATTGATTATTTGATGATGAAAAAAAGAATATCCCCCCCCCCCCCGGAGTTATAACATGTTGCTACTTTCTAAACTCCAGTATAGCGTATTTCTCCCCATCTTTGTTTTCAAAGGCCTTTGTAAAGGTACTTCTCAGCTCCAAATTAGAATGGAAAGTTCTATTCCTGTCTCTGCTGCGTCCACACTGCTATTCCCCTCCCACTCACTTGACTTCAAAGAAGCTGCTCCATGATTAGTCCTAAACTGTCCCTCAATTGCAGTGCAAGTACTTTGTTGCAACGACCTTCAAAAACAAATTAAAAAGTAAAAACAAACCAACTAGACAATACTTAGGCAGCCACTGGGCTATGATTGCAGCCTACTGTTCTAAGCAGAATTGCCTCAATATTTCCTTGCCCTTTTGTTTCTGTATCTTCTGTTGTCTCTACTTAAAAACACTTCATGTCAAGGACATTCTTCTTGTTCCTGTTCATATAGCACCTACCACAAACAGGACCCTAACTTATCACTTGCTTTCCTACATACTATCAAAATGAAAATAAATAAATATAATAATGAAGTGTCATAAACCAAGCAGAGACCTAACTCAGGCAGGGCAGATCCATACTACTTTGGTTTAATTTGCATTTTAATGCTGGAGCTGGAGGTGTTGGTATCATTTGTCTTATTATAAAGCTTCTGTTTTAAGCGATGTTGCTGAGTCACAGTACTTCACTTCCTGCAAACTAGAGTCACTTATGTATTAGCATTTTGAGGCGGCATTGCACGAAGATTTCAAACACAAAACCACATCATTTAGCCTAACAATATAAAAGGATGTCAATATATCTGAATAGGAAACACAGCTGTATGGTCAATATTTGTTAAAAACACTAATATCATCTCCGGTTGTAGTCCACTCCACTAAAGTAGAATGAAATTCTGGATGGGGCCAAATCCCGTTTCCTTGTATAAGCAGTTTTGTTGAGTCAACTCCACTTGCCTCATTAAGAGGAGAGCAATTTATCTAGCTGAGAACAATGTGGAATCACTTGTTGTCCACTGTTGTGTGATCCTTTCACAACACACAAACAGTCTGAGAGTCGCATTTATTCTATTTTATTTTTATAAATTCTTATAAAATAGATTTTTTTTAATAATTAATCCCAATATTTTTGTTCTGTGCTTATCTCTTAAGTGCAGAGAATTGCATTCACCAGGAATGAGCATCTCAGAGGTCTGATAGCTGAATATAATGAACAGTATTTGAAATGAAAACAGCAGACCATGTGTAAACACAATTAAAATGAATGTCAAAGGCATGTGTTCTATGTTTCTCAGGGGGAAAATCCTAAGATTTTCCTAAATGGAAAAAGTTTACCACTCTATAGAAATATGCTCTGTTGAGATGCTCTGTTGAGCCAAGAAATATCAATAATGCTCCAACAAAAAAGTCTGATTTAGTCTTTTGGATGATGATTTCTCCACCCAGAAAAGAATAAAAACATAAGTTTCCCAGGATGGAGTTTTCTTCCACATTAAATATGTTATCTGTCCTGTCCACCCAGTGTTTCAGAGGAGAAATTTTCTCTTTCCTTTTCACTCTTTTCTTGCTACTTCTTTCTCTTGCCATTCACCTCACATTAGCTAACTATTTTTTCTTACAAGCTTGTACAAATCTTGCAATGCTAGCTCACTGCCTGCAACCTGGCTTTTTAGTTCTACTCATCTAAGCCCATTTACTTACAACTGCGTTAGTTGAAAGTACCATCAGTACTTACGTTGTTCAAGTCTCCTCCTGAGAGCAGTAATAGTATATTGTTTCATTGGCTATTATTCAGAAAAGTTCATATATGTCAGTGTTCCTAGTAGATTTATATTTAAGTGAGTTTGATAATTCCAAATCACTGATGAATGTATTTTTACATATGTTAAGACAAACAAATGTCTTCATCAGAGTTGCAGTTTTTAAATAAATTCTGAAGAAGAGTAAAAATAAATTTTGATTAAGGGTGATCTTACTAATGAAAAATCCTAAAGTAGTAACTAGGGCACCTTTTCATGCTTCTTAATGTCTTCAAGACATTTCCTGAGTCCCTCAAAAATCAGGAGACAGTAGACATGCAAACTGAGACAGAGTGGTTTTGGTTATCAGTTGTAGCCACAAGTCAGCACATAGATATTAAACTTGCACAAAACATTTTTGAGTCTTTTTACACTTCTAAAAATACAGATTGTAATCTTCCATCTTTAAAGGAAATACATAAAGAAATAAAACCAACAAATGAAAAAAGGATCATCTAGATCAGCTATGCAAATATATGGAATATATTTTAAGCATCTCAGTCAGGCATTGCATTTAGTTATTTAAGTATGAATTTAAATTTTCAAACTACTTTGTTATCAAGATATAGGAAAGGAGTCATGGCACTAACGAAAAACAACTCTGTTACCTGGTTAATCAAGTATTTGTCTCATCAAAGGTGTCTTTCTGTCACACTTTTTAGGAAGAATACCAAGAAGATGCTATTTCAATTGCAGTAGGGGGAGTTGCTCCACTGTTCAGCTTCACTGTCTTCATTAGAGTGCAGCAGGACTTTACTTGAGCTAACACATTTAAACCCTTCATTAGAAAGAAAATTCAATCTAGAAAAAGTCGCAGAATCAAATTCAATCCTGTTTTTTACAAATCACATAAAAAATGATGCACAAATGACAGCCAAAGAGAAAAAGACAAATCTAAAGCTGTTTTAAGGGACTGCCATTTATTCCTTCAAAGTCTATTCACCCCAAGGTCTCTTGGCATTTTCTGGGTACAACTGCTTTTCACCACCGTACACAATAACATACACCAGAGGTGCACACTGTAGCACTCCTTCTTAATCAGCCGCTCCATGAGCTTTTCCAGCTACTTCTCTGCACCAAGGTTTATGTGTCATCCAAACCTCTAGCTCTGAAAAGCATATTGGAAACACCTTTCCATACTGGCTCTCTACTTCCTCATCCTAGATTCCTTCCCAGGCACAAAATGGCAAGATCTCTCACCCTGAGAAGAGGGTAAGGAGCCCCACAGGTCCAGTTTGCATTCTGAGTGAACTGCATGGCCCACCACGGATGTAAATTGGAAAAACACTCCCTGAAGCAGTGAACAAGGTCATGGGATGGTTCAAGTCAGGTATTGTTCAAGTAAGGTTCATCCCTGGCTTTCGTTCTTTTCGCAGTGAGAAGATGCTGGCACACCTTTTCTTCATGTGTGCCATGCTGCAGTCCCTCTGGCTATACTTCTCCTCTCACCTCTTTATTTTTACCCTCCTTATCCATTACAACACCAAGTCCTGGGACTTTCTCATCAAAATCCATTAGCCCTGGCCAAAACTGCAGTCCATGGACCCTGGAGAAGCAAGCTTGACAGGGGACCCATTTTTAATTCTTTGTCCCATCACACCTCCAGGAAGTTTCCCCCTGGCCATGACACACTAGCTCTGTGGGCACTTTCAGGGTATGCTGAGTGCTATTGGGGGTGTCCTGCCCTATGGCTCCCTTGGTTCCCTTTTATTTTTTTGTTTTGCACATTTTTGTCCCTCAGCCCACTTCCTTTTTTCATTTGTCATCCACTGTAACTATTAGGTTTTCTATTTCTGTAATCTACCTTCTGTTTTTTTCTTTTTTCTTTTTTTTTTTTTTTTAAACCAGAGAAATATTAAGGTTTCTAGAGGTGGTCTGGTTTCTCTGCAATAGAGACAATCAATAGAAACAGTGGCCATAGGGGCCAGGGGTGCTGTCCCTGCACATCTCCTGCATGGCAATGAGAGGGGACAGCTCACTCAGCAGCACTGAGAGGACAGAGGAGAGGGACATCGCACCCTCCTCTGATGCCAGCACACTGCATGACCAGTGCCACCACGGCATCACCTCTGCTGCCACCAACCCTACCAGCACTGCATACCTACCACCCCCCTCTGCCCCAAGATGTGTGGGGCTGCAGGGGGGCACTACCACCCACGCCTGGCAACCAGACCCACGGGAGCTCAAGGGTGGGAAGGGCTGTTTGAGGGGACCAGCTGCTATTCCTTGGATGGCGATGGGCAACCTTGGGCAGATCTGCTGTGTGCTGCCAATTTCAATCTGTGAGTGTGCTCTAGGGAAGTCTGGGAAGCACTGTTACAAATTACATATCATGATTGTACACGCGCGCACACAAAACACCACAAACCAAACCCCAAATAATGTCAGTACTACGTAATGAAGCTTCCAGATAGAAGGTGCATGTTCATCACACTGAAAGCAGTAGTGATGATGAGAGGGACTTCTGTAACAAAATGCCATATGAAATAAAGCAACTTTAGAAAAGATATATATGCAGCGAACTCTATGCAGTGAATAGTACTTTTTCTTCCTTATAACTTCAGTTTGTAAGTAGCAATGATTCAGAGTTTATTGCTTCTGTAGCCATTGCTGTTAAATCTATCACATACATGTAATTTGCCATGCAGAATTTCCACATAAACACTAAGTGTTAATTACACTGTGGAAACCAAGACAACCTCCCTTATCCTAATTCATGCAGGCACACTTTAAAGAACTTTAAATATTTATAAATCTGTTCCTTAATGTAACCAACATCTGGAATTCTATACAGTCCTGTGGTAATAGGGAGTAGAAAGTAGGAAAGGCTGTAATGATCATATATTAAAATGTACTTTGAACATTATCTGTGAAAGAAAGGGTCACTGGGAGGACATTGTATACCAGACCAAATACATACTGGATTATAATGGATCCTTTTTAGTAATATCACTGCTTCCAAACTGCTAGCATGCTATGCTGAGTTTGCTTATCTGGAGAAAACATTGACCACAGCCAGGGATCACCTTCTCATCACCTCTTAGGTGCAGGATGCTGCCACGAATTCTGATCTGCTGGTATAATTACACATACAGTTTTCACAAAACCGAATCTAGTCAAGACAGCAGATGTTACGAGCTGGCTACAAATTAGTGTGACAAAAACCTCGCCACACCAGTACCTCCCTTTTAGTTCAACACAAGTGTCACACAAAAAAAAAGACCTGAGTCCAACCTAAACTTCACTGAGAGTCCAGGCACCTTCACTTAGAGATGACTTGGGCCCCTAGGAAATAAGACACTGGTCTCTGAAGTCAGTGGCTGCTCTTCTGACTTCAGAAAGAAATGGCTTTTGTTCTCAGTAACTGAAAAAATAACCAAAGACGGTAAAGAAACAGAATTGCTAAATTCTTACTGTAACCATTTCTGATATTTGTATATACTGTGGACTCCAAAATGCTGGAGAAACATATTTATTATAAGCTTATATGGTCACAGCACACCATCTGTAGCTGTTTTCTAAGATGTGTAATGGTAAATGCATTCAGTGTAAACAGATTCAGCATTATTACTTCTTGAATCTTTACTGATACTAAAAGAAGGATAAAAAATTATATGGAAAAAGCAAAAAAAAATGAATGCTCCAAAGCTACATAAAGAGTAAATCAATGAATCCTTAAACATTAAACCACCAGCATTCCTTCACATTACATAGAGATACAATCTCCTCTGTAAATAACTTCCCTTTTCAAATAAGATGTCAGAATTATACTTTTAAATAGTGGAAATAGAGCAGAAAAAAAACCTGCAAGGTTTGCTCAGCTCTCCAAGGACATTTTTTTGACATACTCTTTAACTGAGGTAATCAGGGAGTTACGGGTGTTCACTTTTAATCAGGGAGTTTTAGATAGTCACTTTAAAGTATGTTTTTCAAGCTCTTCTTCAAAAATATGATCCGTGTTCATATGCTATAAAGTCTTTAAACACAAGTATTTTAGGTCCTGATTCAAACACCACTGAAACTGATGGCCACAGAAGACTACTCTCAGGTTGGAATCAAATTATTAACTGAACTGGCTAAAAAAAGGAAATAAATTACAGTTATACTCTATTAAAAAGAATTAAAAGTTTTAAAGAAACACTATTGTAAGTATGAAGATACATTACTAAACTCAGACCTTTACATCATGCACCAATGTCATGCATTTGTTTGGCTTAAAATCCAACAAAAAACAATGGGGTCCTTTGGAGAAGGAATTAGACATTTTCACTTCTGGCTGAAAAAAAAAATAAGTGTTTAGACAAGGGAGGAAAGATAATTTCATTTAATTTAATGTTGCCAGTTACACTGCGAGATTTTGTCTTTCAGAGACTGAAGCACAGTCCAACAGCCATCCAGTTGCTATAGATCCCTTAAGTAGCCATTTATATTAATTGGAAGGAAAAGCTGCTTGGTGTCCAGCTCTTTCTTTCTTCCTAATTTGACAAGTACTAGAGATGGCAGTGTTACTTTCTAGTTTGTTGGGGGGGGGTCCTTTTTTTTTTTTCCTTTTTTTCCCCTTCCTTTGCTATACATTCAGAAGAAGCCAAAAAGAATAGTTTGAACCAAAAGTTTAAGACTGACAATTACAACAGAACAGTTTGGTGCCTCCAAATAGTTGTTGCAGTTACCTCTGGCAAACTGCGTTTCTACTAGGGCACAAACACACACACACACTTTCTCAGCAGAAAGAAACAGATCTATTAAAATTACCCTTGTGCTTGACTTGGTTTAAGCTGCTCTCTGCCTGTTGACATATCACAGTGGTTTGTCATGTGTTATATTTAGGGTCTGAAACTTCCCTCTAATGAATAAGATTTCAGTACATGGGCTGTTACAGAAGTGCAGAGGTGCAGAAGACAGGACTAAACCCAGTTCTTGCAGCTGGCACCCTAGAATTTGGAGACCCAGGTGCACCCACTTCCAGAATCCTTTAACGTAAGATAGTACCAACAGACTTGCCATCAGTAAGTGAGGGAAGGAGAAGTATGGTCACCTCACAAATCGGAATGAGGGGATTGCAAACAAGGGATATCTTATCAGAGGGGTGCTTCACCTTTCATGCCACAGCCCAAGCTGCAGAGAGTTGAGAAGGTGCAGCCCAGATTTCCTACCTGTCGGCACTGAGGGCAGTGAGGGTGAAGACAGAGACACCAACAGAAGTGAGCTGGATGGCAGGGATGAGTTTGCAGCCCACTTCCCCGAAGAGCCATTCCTCAGAGAAATACCGGGAGGCATCCAGGGGCACACAGGTCACCAGCAGCAGCAGATCGCCGGCAGCAAGGCTGGAGATGAAGATGTTGGGCACGCTCCTCATGGCGCTGTTGGAGATGAAGATCTTCATGAGGGTGATGTTGCCCAGCAAGCCCACAGTGATGATAAGCAGGTAAAGCGAAGGGATCACACAGCGGACGACAAACATGGCAGTGTCCCGCCCTGGGGGCAGCAGGGCTGTGTCTGGCACCAGCCAGGTGCTCCTATTCCCCCCGAGGGGCATCTCTGTGAGCTCGGGCAGCGGCTCTGCCTCCATCCTCCAGCTTCGGGCAGACCAGAGCTCTCCAGTGTGAAGTCCAGGGGGAACCACTGGAAAGCTTCACTTCTCTGCAAGCCAACCAACTTTCTCCCTTTTCCTCCCAGTTTTCCTCTGCCGAGTTTTCTCCCCTCAGAAACGTAGAAGGGAGCAGGGCGGGGAGAGGGAGCGGAACACAAAATGCCGTGCTGCTCCCTTTCAGCTCTTTGAACAACCCCTCTCCCGGGGAAGGGCAGGAGGGAGAGATCCTGAGCCTCGGGGGCAGCAGCTCCCGTCAGGACTGCAGCCTGCCCTCGCCC